GGGGGGGGGGGTGTGAAGCCAACAGGGCTAGCTTACTTGCTAGCAGCATCCGGTACACCAAGTCTTTCAAAGTCAAAACAAACGAGGCTTGGGTTCAAACTGTGTGGAACTCTTTTTTTTTTTTTGGCATGTTTGAGTTTTTGTTGTTGTTGAAGTGATTACGCCCAAACCGGATGTGATTTTTATTTTCCCTGCATCGAAGTGTAGACTCTTGGCTATTTCCTCACCACGGCCCATGTCCCCACATCTCCTTGTCTCTATGCTAGCACGGGGAGCCGGTGGGACTCTTAAGGCGTAGTTTGGTTGATCTCAACTACTAAAGGGAGGCAGGGGAGGCAGATGGGAATAAGGAGGGTTTGACGAATGTGACTCTGATACAGAAGGCACTGTGGCTCTGTAGGGTTTTTTTGGGGGGGGGGGGGAAGCGTCCCCAACGTGCCGTGAACCTCATTTGATGGGAGGTGTGGGCAGAGGGGTTTCGGGTTTGCGCCCTTCGACTCCCGCCGAACGATTAAACAATCAACAAAACCAAAACCCCCGTCCCTTATCCCCATCTGCACTACGCTATGCTCGACTACTAGGTCTGGAGGCAACACATTTCGGGAGAGGAGGGAGTAAAATGGGGAGGGGAAAGGGTGATCTGGACAAAGGTACATGAGAGAAAAAGGTGTGTCACTGTGTGTGTCAAGAGTCGTGTGCAAACGTGGGTGTCGATCTTTCACAATTTTCTCCCAACCTCCCGGTTCATTAGTCCCTTTTTTTCAACGGTACCACAGCGTCGCAGCTTCTCCTCCAAAATACAAACAGAGAGGACGCTTATGAGGTCTGCATAGAGTCAAAACACGAGGACTGGGGGGGGGGGGTCGTCTTCTGGCATAACGCGACTGCGATAGCAAACAGCGCAAGGTTTTTCAAGAGTAGCTAGATCGTCAACCGTGTCATGAGCATGAACGGTGTGCAAAATAAATAAATATCTGAAACTTTAAACTCTGTCTGTTATCTATAACTACATCTACCGATATTCTATCTAGATTTATACGTAGCTTATCATCTATATTCATCTATACTTTATCAAGTTATTGAATATTCAATAAATGTTGTCCCTCATAACAATAAGGATGAAACTATTAGTCCTAAGTGTTTCTGTCCTGCAGCGTGTCTTCAAGCTGAAGGAACAGATGTCAAAAGCAAATGGACAGAAAAAGAAGAGGATTGATGAGAGAGGAGAGGTCGGTGGAGACTGACGTGGGTTTTGGCAGAGGAGGTTTCAGCTTTGCTACAACCTCATATCGGGGATTTGGTGGCTGTTCTCTGGTTATCCAGACCTGAGCGAAGGGGGTTGGACAGGTGTAGGGGGGGGGGGGGTCAGCATTGGCACAGACAGGCAGACAGAAGGACTGGGGCCGACACACGGACAGATATGGCGTCTCTCAGGCTGCATCCATGTTTCCCCGACTAGGACTGGACTTCATCTATACAAAGATATAAGAGACGGGTACAAGAGGAGGTTTCACTCCAGGTCTAGAAAAACAGGATGTAGCCCGGAGGCTGTCCTGTAGAGGGGGAAGGCAGAAGGGCGGATAATGTGCGCCGATAACTGCCCCCTGGTGGCAACAAAAAAAGAAGAGAACAACGCCACCTAATACTGACACCAACACTGTACCACCAATACTGTGCTGTCACTGCCGGCAACCGGTCGCACTACAAAGCTACAGAGCCAGACGGAGGGGAAAATATTGAGATTCGTAGTTTTTTTTTTTTGGCTGCAAGTTGAAGAAATCAACCTCGGTAGAACTTCAGTAACACTTGGCTCGTCTGGAACCTCTGCAGTGTAAAATGCAGATGAACTCTTCCACATTCTCAACGATCTGGTCTACCCCCCCCTCCCTCTGAACGCGAATTCTTGATCTTTGGGTTGGCTTGACAAGAGTTCTGACCCCGTGAATCACTGCGAGCCAGCTAGCCGAAGCTCCCCGCTGACCTCCACCGTTCTGAAGAGAGAGCGTGTCTTCAGAGTTGCGTTACAACACGCAACGCCGCTGAGTGAGCGTTTCCCCGAGCCGTCGTCGCCGCGTCACGTCGCCGGAAGGCATCAGGAACCCGGTAAACGTCGTTGGACGCGGGGGATTTTTAAAAAACATAACAGATGTAAATAAGATGGACATAGCATACTTAAACTCCAAACAGCATGACAACAAATCTACAGCAACAGTTCCATCAATCAGCATCATCATCATTGTCATCGTCATTTTGCATTGACATTGATATAATTATTCATCATTAACAATAATAAATCAAGTGTGGTGGAAGCCCGCTTCTCTCCGCTCTTTCTCCCTCTCGTCTCTCAAGCACGACAGGAAACTTTAACGTGATACTGCAGCGTCTCCCGTCTTTTTAACAGTTCGTAGCTTTTTATCGGACAAAACGGACGAACGTCAAAAGCCCGTTTTTTTTCGGTTGAAAACTAAACAAAACAAGAGCGAGAGAGAGAGAGAGTCTGAAAGAAGAGGACTTCTTTTGTAAACCTAAATGCAAAGTTTCCTACAAAGACCCCAGGTCCCACCCACACCAGTTAGATCTCCTCTCTAGTATGTATTTAATCGATCATGCAGGCTTCCATCAAATTTTGGACTCCAAAAAAGATCAAAAGGAGGCTGAGCGAATGCAACAGAAGAACCAAGCTCCAATGTCCGAAGAAGAACAAGAAGGAGAAGTAATCGATAGTAATCGAAGAAATACTGAAGAAATTAGTCTTTTTCCCCATCCCTCCTTTCCTCTCCTCCGCCCCACTTAACCGTGCAATGTCATTTCCTGTCAGGTCATCCCTTAGCCTTTTTCGCCGTGTCGTGTAACCGAGGAGGAAGGGGCATGACGAAGTGTCCGACTCCCTTCTCAAGTTACCTGAGGCCCACCCTAACCAATAGCGCACTCGAACAGGAAGTGAGCCCACACATGCCCCGCCCCCCCCACCGCCTCCCCTGCACTACCACCACCGCTGGACAGGAAGTGATGTCACACCAGTTCCGTCAGCATTAAGTGAGTCTTTAACAGTAAACAGAGATGATAAAACTCATCAAATATCAGCCAGCGCTGTGATTGGCTGGTTTTTGCAGTATAGGCGGAGCTTCCTGGTTCTGTCCCTTGGGAAGGAAAAAGGTCAAAGATAAAGTGGTTGTTCTCCCATTTTTTCTTTTCATTGTTTGTCATGTAAAGTTTCATTTTGTTCTTCATTGTTCAAGTTTGATTTTCTGGAGGCATAGCTTGGCATGTAAGGGTTAGGGGGTCCTGGCTTTGTGTTAAATCATTTTTCTTTAAACGTATCTGTTCGAGGAGCAGAGTCGAAGCAGTGGACTCTGCGACTCATTTTCAGGCTCTTTACGTAAGCAGACCGGCCAGCGACAGATCTGCACACGTCTGACGAAACTAACCAATCACGCGACAGTCTGGGGAGAAGCGTTTTTAGGCCTCGTGAACCGCGATCATCCCCGGCCGTTTTTGCATGCTCCTCCCTTCGCTTTTTTTTTTTCTGTTCCCACACCTCTCTCTTCCTCCTTCAGCCTGGCCTTGCTGGTCAGGCATAGAATTCTGGGAAGTGTAGTTCTGAGAGAGGCAGAGGTAAACCGTGCCCCGGGCCTTGCCATAGTTGTCTTAGCTGTCTCTTTTTTTCATTTTTATCCACTTGCTGCTCTGTCACTGATTTGAGTCTGACACAAAATCTGTAAAAGGCTAATTGCAGCACCTGCGCCCCCCTCCCCCTCAGCTCGTTTCCTCTCATTTAGAGTCCGAGGGGTGAGGGTTTGGAGGGCGTCCAACCCCCTTCTCACCACCTCTGCTTTATTAAAAGTCTATGAATCCAAGGCCAGAGCACTGGAGGCTGCTATTATTCCCCTCTCCTGCCCTTATCCCTCGCTCCCTGTGGTTGCTAGCACCAGTCGTCCTCGTCCGTCTCACTAAAAGGTTCATGCAGGCCCTTGCGGGGCCCTCGGGCATGGGGGGGCCGGTGCTGGGGATGGGGGGGCACTCCAGGTGGCCCCCGCCGGTGCGGGGAAGGGGAGGACGAGCGGTAGCCATTAGGCACCCTGCGTGGATGCGGGTGAGGGGGCGGAGGGGGCCCGTGGCGGGCAGTCCTGGGTGAGCGTGGGTGCGGGTGAGGATTTCCCCCATGTGGGTGCGGGTTGCCGTGGGAGAGGCTTTGCTCATAGGCGGGGGGCTCATGGTGCCGCTCGTACTCGTAGTCGCGCTCGTAGAAGGGCCCGTCTCCCTCCAGGCTGTCCCCAGGCGGAGGCCCGCTCCAGCGGCCTTGGTGAGGGGACCTGGGCGAGCCGTGGAGGGGCGAGCGCGGGGACTGGTGCCGAGGGGAGCGTGGCGAACCGTGCCGGGACGCGGAGCCCCCGTGCTGTGGAGAGACCTGGCGTGACGGGGGTCGGTGGTGGTAGCCTCTGTCGTGGTCTGGTGGGGAGAAGTGTCGGGGGGAGGGCGAGCGCAGTCGGCCCGGCCCTGGGGGGCCGTAGCTGGGCTTGCGGACGGTGGGGGAGTAGGTGACATGTGGACGGGGAACAGCAGGGGTCTGGGGCAGCTGGCGACGGCCTCTCCGCGGAGTGCTGGTCCCCGAGGTGGAGGGGACCGGGCTGCCACTCACCGAACTACTGCCCTACAGCAAAATGTAAACAAGGAAAATCAAAACGCACCACAACAACAACACCAAGACCAGAATAGAGAAGAGTGGAGATAGATAGATAGAAAGGTAGGTAGGTAGGTAGACAGATAAACACCATTGAAAATCATCCAAAAACATAGTGATGAGGCAAAAAATTGACACCAAGAAGCCACACGTCACATTGAAGAAAAATGGACAGAAAGAGAGAAACAGTGATAAAGAAAAAAGCATAACACAAAAAAGAGAGATTGATATCCATAAGTAGGTGTATGACTTTGTGTGAAGTCTTACTGGATAAAATAACTGCTGTTGTGGTGAGTGCGCAAAAGGCAGAGGTTAAAGATCACTTCATAAATAATGACTGAAGCGTGACCTGCTGTGACTACAAGAGTATAATGTGACTAGGATGTGGAGTACCACTGTCAGTGCGGAGGTACTCGCAATGACAGCACAGAACATCCTCAAAGCTATTTATCCAACCTGTAAAAAGCTATATATAAGGTCATCTACTTATATGGAAATTAAGACAGAACAGGAAAGAAGGTATCGGACAGTATGCTCTCTCTAATCTTGGCTTTGATCTCAGTGTCTCTGGAGCCCACCTGTCTGTGTCCCCGTCCATCGGGCCCCTCGCTGGGCGAGCGGGACCATTGGCGGTCGTGGGGATGCCTGTGGGGGTAGTCGTGTCTGTCGGGGCCGTAGCGCTCCTTGTCCATGGAGCTGTGGTGGTGGTGGTGGTGGTGATGGTGGTGGCGACGGTCCTTGGTCCGGCCGCGGTCCCGCTCGCGCTCCTTGGGTGGGAGGTCGCCCGACTGCGTGGTGGTGCTGAGGTCTGTGCCCAGACCTAGCGAGGAGATGTCTCAGTTTACATTTGTATAAACAAGGGCCACTCGAGGAGAGGTCATACGAATTAAGATTACGACATCACCCTCAAGTTTCTATGGTAGTCAGCCATTTTGAAAAGCAAGTCAGAGGTGATTTTTAATTCAAATGAGAACAAACTCGTCATCTGAAAGCTGGGAACCTGAAGATTCACTTTTCATCAGTTGTTCTGCCAAAATTGGGCTCATTGGATTCACAAGAGTCTCAGCTTTTCAGTAGTATTTGTGCTATTTCAAGACTTTTTTGGGACCCCATTATGCAGAAATATGCAAATACACCATTTTCAAAACAGGCAAAAAGAACACATTTATACTGCACGCAAAGTTTTTGTCGCCAAGCTCCATGAAGTTAGCATGAAATTGGCACCTTGAGGTGAAAGGTCAAGAGACCCCTTCAGAAATTGTCCACGCCAGTTTTTTTCCATCGACAGACTTCAGACGTTAAACTTAAATTTTTTTTCACGGCAGCTGGATTCTCGCGATGTCACAGTTAGCACGATATGCTAACTTGGTGGTAATGGATTCATTACGTCGTGTAGTTTTACATAATACCAATATCTTCACTCTGGGTGAAATGTGTTGTACGTGCAGTCAAATGTAGAGCAAAGAAAACGACTTCAAAACACCGTCATCACGACTGAGAGAGTCCTCTCCATCAGATCAGAGAGCTCTCCAAATATAAAGAGCATTTAGAGTTAAACTGGGCCGGCCTGGTTGCATTAGTTTTACAGGCTGAAGCACAAAATTTGCACTCGCAATTAGCGATGAAGTGGACAATGTTCCTTTTCAAGGACTTCTTTGTGCCGAGACTTGACTCGCAGACATTTTAGTGAATGTGATGACAACTCCGCTCTCATAGCTCAATAAATGCACAGATTGCTCTTAACCGCTACCAAGTTGCCCTTGACTGTAAAGCAACGCTGTGGGCTGCAACTACGGCAACGTTACATCATCACTTGATGTCTAATGTTCGTAAAAATATACAAAAATGGTGTGTTAAACTCCAGGTTCTCCATAATTTCTCAACAGAAGGATGAACATTTCTTATCAGTCACATGTTTTATGCCCTAAAGCATCCCCTGCTTTATGGTCTGTGTGACTCTAAATGGACCATAATGTACTAAATGAACATCATGCTGTATTGAAGAAGAATTGAAACTAGAGATTGAGACCATAAACTCATGTTTACAATGTTTACTGAGGTAATAAATCAAGAGAGAAGTAGAGTCATTATCTCATAGACTTCTATACAACCAGAGGAGTCGCCCCCTGATGGTCACTAGAGAGAATGCAGGTTTAAAGACACTTCAGCATTGACTTCACTCTGCAGAACCGGAGGTTACCGCCTGGTTTTAACGCACACACTTAGCAAGCTAACAGTGATTCCACCAATACTTTTTAAGTGATCTTGTCGTGGATTAAAGTGTTGAATAATCACAATCCCTGCAAATGTTGCTGCTCAAAGGTTTCAATGTCGGCTCTGAACGACTCACCCGTGTCAGCGTCGGTGTATCTGGTGAGGGAGCGCTGCGAGGCCCGGTGACTCCTGTCCCTGTGTCTGCGACCTCCTCCGTGTCTCCCCTCCTCGGACACCACCCTCTCTAGGGAGTAGTCGTCCAGCCTCACGCCCCGGCCCGTGCGCCCGTGGACCAGGCTGGAGGTGGAGCGACGCATCGGACTGGTGTCGGTGATGGTCTGGGAGGAGGTGAAGGGGAGAGCAGAGAGGGAGATACAGAAAGGGAGAAGGACAGGCAGATGGGAAGAACATAAGGTTGGAGAGGAGGTGATGAGATGATGAGAGAAAAAGAAGGAAAGAAAGTGAGATTTAATGCATTCTGACTGTTCGACACTCAACACTCGCTGAGCTGCATGTGGTTGACTGTCTGTCAGTGCATTCCTGTGTGTATCTGTGCAAATTGAATGACAATATGTGACTTGGGTCAAACAGCAGTACCAAATAAGTCGGGTTGTGGTTAACCATACTAGGACACGAAGGTTACATTTTGTTTTGAACATTTTGGCTCTGCACACTTCTGATCTGAAGCACTATTTGACCCATCTTAAAATCATTCATCAGCTTATGGTATTTGCATTAAAGTAGCTTGACCCATACTACCTGAGATCCCTGACTACCAAGCCTTTGACAAGCACATATAATAACATGCTTCTTCACCAAAAACATGGGGGGGCAGACAAGATAAACGGGGAACTGACAGGGAGAGAAGAAAGGGGCTAGAGAGACAGAGAGCAAGCATGAAGGAGGGCCATAAGAACCATGCCTCACATGCACCCACTGGACTTTTCCAAATGGCAGCCATGTTTCATTCAGCTCACGGTCAAGTACATCATCAGACCAGCAAAGAACATCGGGTGTTTGACGCCGAAGATATTACTGTTATTTTTCATCACAGTCTAAAATTCTATTTAAAAAAATAAATACTCAAAAATAATCTGATAAGCACATTTCCAGCACTATAGAAGTGTTTAATATCTGATTAGTAGATTTAAATCTCACTGGTTTAATGTCAACAAATTATAAACATAATCTTACTCCATTTCCTAACTGAATTTATTTCAATATCTGTTGTTATTTTATTTCTTATTCTGCTCATCACAGAAATATTTAAAGGGTTTTAAATCTTTATTTTTGCCTGCTTGTCTTTTATACGTAGGGATTTTTTGTCCAACAGTATGACATGAATGAAATATGGCAGCCAGGTGGATAAGGTAAAATGACATTCCATAACCTTTGAGTCTGGTCAGAATGCTCTGCAAGAACCCAACAGAAGAATCACACCGGATTGACCGACACAAAGATTTTAACGTAAGCGGGATGCTCTAAGTTTCACTGTAATAAATTCGGCTATTAGGGTCAAAGAATATTAGTTCTGCTGACTTTATGGTTACGGTTGGAGTTTGATTCCATATTATACCGTATAAATACGTTTTTACCATTGACAAAAAAATGTTTTTTTGCTGTATAATTAACATTAAAATGCTGCATAAACACAGTTTCTGCCATGAAATAAGACGGCGTTTTACTGTGAAACGTTAGTGGGCTAAAGACACTGCCTTGCGTTGCCCCCACAGAATAAATGGACTGCGGCGTTATTATAAAATATACCGTCAGTTGCTCTAACTAGAGCCACAAAGTAAACATCATTCTGTTGACATTACAAACAGAACAACGACAAAGCGCCTGATAACCGTGTTAACTGAAGACTCATAGTGACGGACAGATGTTTAACTTTACATAAACCAATTTTAAAAACATAACCATCTGTGTTTATAATCGGCAACCATTTACGTACTACGAGCAATCACGGACGCATTCGGCTGAAAGTCACCAGTTAGCAGAAATGGCTCTTTGAACCCGTCAAGCACTGTGTGTGCGTGTGTGTGAGTGAGTGTGTATATAAGAGTAGTGTACTTGTTTGAATATTAATAAACCTGTTTGTGACCGTTTTTTTGCATCATGAAACCTCTAATAACGTATAAACAGTAAAAGCATATCATATAAAGGAACTGGCTCCAGGTAACGTCTACATCTAGATTTTGTTGCTGGGTTCATTATCAGGCTCTTCTGACCAGGACAAGCCCCCTGCTGACACTCTGAACCCCCCCCCCCCCCCCCCCCCCAACCCTGGAAAGCTTCACATCACCCTGATGATAAAGCACATGTCAGTCTGCAAGCGGCAGGCCGGACAAAGACTCAGACGAACACAAGAGGATTCACCGTCCGGAGAGGAGCCCGACAGAAGCCATGCACGCCCTCCGGGTAGCCGGCAGCACAGTACTACACGTGGTCATACACTTCAAAACAACGGGTCGCTTCCCACTTCTTCCTTGGCATCTATTTTGGGAAGTTTATGTCCACAACTATGTCTGTCACAATATTAGATCTTCACTACTCTACTAAGAATTCACGGTAATGGTGTTATTGCAATTTCTAAAGACATTTTTTGGCAAATGAATTACCCTAAAAGGTATAAGGAGTGGACGTAGTCATCGTGACGTCAACCGTTGGTTTGTGGACTGATGTTTTGAAGCCTTGAGTTCGGCAATTTCGCCCTTGCCATCTTGGATTACGGCCGTCGCCATGTTGTTGTTTTTTTTTTGCAACCGATGAACTGAAGTAACCATATTTGGAATGCGGAGGACTGACGTACAGACGGCGTATACGTCTCTGGTAGCGGTCCAAAAGGACTTTTCCCCTCATGTCTCATGTAAAAACAAGTCAATGTTGACTATTGACTATAACATTGTGTCAAAACGATCGATGACTACGTGGATTGTAATGTCATTTTCATGCTGCTGTGTGACTCCGATGTCACATGTCAGTCTATTTATTACATATATTTTAAATTAACCTAATTATATAGCACCTTTTATACAATAAGTTTAGCTCCGAGTGCACGAATAACTGAAGAAATGATAACAAGAACAGACAATTTACCAAGTTACAATGTTAAAAGAAAGAAGGATGTTAGTACTACTACTTCTACTAATAACAATACTAATAGCATTAGTAATAATTCTGGTTTTAGAGGCGCACAGCTTTGTTTCTTTGCACAACTTTTAACAGACGGATCATTGCTGTTTAGATGTACGAGTCTTTCATTGAACAGGTGTAAAACTCTCATACTTCCTCAGACATTTCTGAACATATCACAGCAACATTATGATTCCGGCGACTTGAGTGTCTAAATTCATTTTTACATTACACCCCTAGTTAAACTTAAAACAACGATGTCACCGTGCAGCCACTCTGTCTCCGTCCAACCTTCAACTCCTGACTGACAGTCTTTGGCTAAAGCAGGACACGCTCCCTCATCGGCACGCCGCTTCCTCTCCACCACATCCACGGCGAGACTCAGCTCTGCAACGTCATGCATGACCAATGACATGCCGGCACGCCGCCAATCGCCCCCCCCCCCCTACAGGCCAACAGTCGCAGATCAGGCCAGTCCATGCTTTTTCTCGTACACTGTTGACCCGCTCTGCAGCGATTGCAACAGACCACAACGCACGGGTAACACACACGGAGGGAACACACCCACACACACTTGCTGCATTCAAGCAAAACTCCAGGGGGGGAACTCGTCACAGAAAACAAACAATGGGCAGCAGAGCGACCTCAACACGAGCAGAAGGAGGGAGAGAGAGAGAGAGAGAGAGAGAGAGAGAGAGAGAGAGAGAGAGAGAGAGAGAGAGAAAAAAAGTAGATCTGAATCGTGACAATTAGGCCACGGTTGATTTAAAAAGCCAGGTGGGGTGAGGGCGTTTTCTTTTTTAGGTGCAGAAAAGCACAGAAAATGTACTTCAGAGCTGTTTCAAACAATCAAAAAAAGTATTACGCAAATTTAATATAAAATATGAAGATTTTGAACATCCAAGGAACCATCCAATACTTGAAAGACAGCTCATTTATTCCCTTCAGCATTTGATGTTAAAAGGAATTGAGTGTGCGCTCATCGTCTCAGGTGCTCTAAGTTTTACTGAACATCTAACACTGGTCTCCTAAAAATGACGATGTCATATTTTTACCCTGAGTCAAATTTTCCGTGTTTTTTTCTCTGGGTCAGTACGTTACAATCAGCCACCTACAGCTTACAGCCTACTCATGTTATTATACTTGGAAATTCAGCCCTCAAATTTGCCGGCAAGACAGTTTTCCTGACTTAAGACGTTGGTATCTCCACAATGGCTCAATGGATTTTTACAATTCACATTTTTGAGAGTCCATCTCCCTTTTGTTCTTTTACAGTTTGAATTGCAAAGCTCGACCTTACCAGTCTCTCTCACAACGAGGACCAGAGGCCCCTGGAAATATAGGACCCTGAGAAGATAGGACCCTGAGAACATAGGACCCTGAGAACATAGGACCCTGAGAACATAGGACCCTGGTAACCCCTGAGATTGAAACATTTACACCACCTGACCAG